CGAAAGGCCTAGATTTGGACGCCCGAAATGGGTACGGAAAGAATGGGTACGATGCCCAACAACAAGTGTTGTCCCAAACCAACAGCAGCCGCTGTCGGGCAGGCGGCCCTCTGTCCCAAACAGACACAGGCCGCGGCGCGCGGACAGCGAGTCCTGTTCCAAATGAACAGGAACTGCTGTTGGGCATTGTACCCATGCTTTCCGCACACACTTCGTTCGTGCCGATACTAGCCTGGACTTGGTCAGGAGCTCCGTGCGCGTGGCTGCGCCGGACGCCGGCCGCCCCCGGGGGAGGCGGGGGCGGCCCCGTCATCCGTCGGGCCGCGGCACTTCCCGCCGTCGAGCTGCGCCCGCACGCGGGCCGCGCCCCCTCCGCAGCCGACGGTGCGGCGCCGCTGCCGTCGAGCCGCGCGGGGGCAGGAGCTCCCCGCGCCCAGCCCGCGAGCGCCTGCCCCGCCCACATCCCCCTCCCCCTCCTCCTCCTCCTCCTCCTCCCCCCTCCTCCTCCTCCTCCTCCTCCTCCTCCTCCTCCCTCCTCCTCCTCCCTCCTCCTCCTCCTCCTCCTCCTCCCCTGGCCGTGGCTCGGGCGCCCACTCCCCGTGCTTCTTCGGGTTTCGTGCGTGGCCTTGTCGCCAACGGATCGAGGCTGCTCCTCGAGGGTCCTCGCCGAAGGAAAGACGCACACGTCCGACCGAGGCCACGCCCCTGGCATCTGGCCGTCGCGGGCAGAGATCACGACGGGCGTCCTTGGGCCCCGCCTCGGGCCACAGGACCCCCACACCTCTTGCCGACTTGAAGATCACGCGTGCGTGTGCGGTCGAGAACTCCGGTCGTGACTTGTCCCGCCGCCACGATGTTTTGACAAAGTGGGCTTTCAGCTATTCCCGCTCATGGAGCAGGGGCCGACCGTCCCAGCATTCCTATAGGCCTGCCACGGCATGTTCTCAGAACCCCAACATGTTCGACTCGCAAGTCTCAGCCAGCGTTGACTCCAAATAGATTAGACGTCCCAAACCAAGGAACCAGAGGAATGAAGCATACTGGGAATCCGCAGCGGCAAGCAAGCAAGCGTGCAAGCAAGCGCGCAAGCGCGCAAGCAAGCAAGCAGGCAAGCAAGCAAGCAGGCATAGGCATAGGCGTAAGCAAAGGAGTTAGGGGGGAGGCATAGGCATCGGCATAGGCATAGCCATAGGAATCAAGGGGAGGGGGCAACGGACCAATTGGTAGGGTTTGAGCTAGGACTCCTATAGGGCAAGCCTATGTGGAGAAAATAATATTTGACCGTCTTGAAACTGTCCTCTCCACTGCTCGTGCAAACATCCGACCCTCCCACCCGCAACTTGGTCGCAAGACCTCTTAAGACAACACCGTGACGGTACGTACCACATGACACTTGGCCACGACACTGACGCCGACGACGACAGCGACAACGACGACGACGACGACGACGGCGCCGCCGACACCGACTACGACGACACCGACGACGTCTCCAACGACTTCGACGACGACAACGACTACACCGACGACGATGACGACGACGACGACGTCAACGACGCCGACGACGACGACGACGACGACGGCGACGGCAACGACACCGACGACGTCTCCGACGACTTCGACGACGACAACGACGCCGACGCCGACGACGACGAAGACGACGACGACGTCGCCAACGAAGACGACGACGAGGGAGGAGGAATGACGACGACGGCGACATCGACGACAACGACGACAACGACGAGGGAGGAGGGAGGACGGCGACGACGCGAACGACGAAGAAGGAGGAAGGACGGCGGCGCCGACTTCGACAACGACGAGGGAGGACGGAAGACGACGACGACAACGGCGACGACGACGACGGCGACGAAATAGGAGGGACGACGACGAGATGCCGACGACGGACGACAACTACGACGAGGGAGGAGGAGGAAGGACGACCACGGCAACAACGACGACGGAAACGACCACGACGCCAAAGGTGACGACGACGACGAACACGAGGAAAGACAGAAGACGACGTAGGCGACGACGACGACGACGACGCGGGAGGAGGGAGGACGGCGACGACGACGACGACGACGAAGACGACGCAAGAGCGCGCGCGCACGCTTTTGTTGAACATCCGTGTTGCGAAACCTTGTGTTTGTATGTTTTTTGGACACACGATCTTGAAATCCTTCCGAAACCGATGGGTTTTGAAGGTTTTCGGCATACGCGCGCGACGACGCGCGCGTCTGCACTTCGTCCCATTTTTTGCAAAAAGGGTTCTCGCGACGGCGCACACGCGCAAGGGCGTTCGACAGATTTCGACATGCGCGCGCACGAGGCCCGTTTAATAGCATTTTGCGATCTTCAGATTTCGCAAGAGCTCGCGCGGAAGCTGTTTTAGCAAATCAGTGTTGCGAAACCCTGTGTGTTTGTATGTTTGTTTTGAACTCCATTGCGAAATCCGTCCGGCATCGAGGGTTTTTGAAGGATTTCGGCATGCGCGCGCGACGACGCGCGCGTGTGCACTTCGTCCCATTGTTTGCAAGAGATTCGCGAACAAGTGCTATCGTAGAACAAAAAATGTCACCGCGTAGTGTTTTTTTTCAAGGGACCCTCAGGGGGGGATACCGGCCCCCCTGGAATAGTGTAAATTCATATGTAGGATGGACATGTGGTCATAATCATAAATGATTTACATACCTGGAAGGGGGAGTGATAACGCCGGGGGGGGGGAGGGGGGTAGATCCTGTTCTGTTTTTAGAAAGGAGAATCCATGTTCTTAGAACGTAAACCTGATGTGCTACAAAAAGATAGTTTCGGCCAGAAATGCTCTTGGAACATGTCGTGCAGACCACAAGAGGGTCTTAGAACATCCTCTGGTGGGCCTATACGCGAGCCAGGACGCTTCGCCACTGCTTGATTCCAAGTGCCGCTGCACGGCCGGCTGTCCCAGGAGAGGGCGCCTGCTCCGAAGGCCGCCTCGAGTAAAAGGGGGCCGCGCGAGGGTCTGGTGAGGACGCCGGGGGCCATCGCCTCCCGCAGTCCCTCGGGAGACCTCCGCGGCAAATGCATCGGAACAGCAGCGCGGGCGCCCCCGGCAGAGCTGCGCTACGGCACAGCTGCCGCCAGCCACCATGCAAACCTGATGCCAACGCGACCCCCCATCAACATCTTCAAGTGGGGCGAGACCGGCGGAAGACACGCTCAGTGCAATACTGGAAAACTGAGGCCCAGATCGAGCCCCTCCCAAAAGAAAATAAACAACGGCACTGTGCTGGGACAACACAGGAGTAGGAATAACATCATGTTGCGGCACTTCGCTACGCTTCATACTGCGTATGTTTGCAGAGCAGTGCAGTGCAGCGCAGCATTGTTAACTCATCACTGTCCTTGCTTTGTATCGCGCTGTCAAAATATGATGTGTTCGGGATCGAGTTGACTTATTCAGTGTGCTGCCTCTTTTATCGTTTTGGCTCATGTTGAATTGCTTTGATTGGCGCTACATGGTCTCACTTTGCCTCGCTTGCAGTATGGCACCTCGCACTCTTTTGCTGTTGCAGCACATTTCCGCGTCTTGCACGCCATCATATCGTCTTGCGCTGCCTCATACATCGGACTTCCGGCTGCATTGCGCACCTTCTCGCGCGGCTGAGTTTGCCTTCCGTTGGGTTGCGCTGCTTCTGGGGAGGGGCGGCGCTCGAGGGAGGAGGCGTCCCCGAGGAACTGGGGAGAGGGCACTCGAAGAGGCGGGCCGCCTGCATCTCCACCATTCTTGTCCTCTGGGGCAGATCCGGTAGTCTGCCGGGCCAGGGGCGGGTTAGACCTCGGCACCCTGGGGGCTCAGAGCGCCTCCTCCCTGAGACGGCGCCAGGTCGCTGACTTGTCTGGTCGTCCTTCCCCTCCGCCCTCCGTATCGTCGTCCTCCGCCTGGGGGCTATCGGGTCCTCTTGGAGCAATATTGGTACTCTCTTGGGGCTGTCTCGGTGCCCCCCTCGGGATCTCCAGTGCCGACTTGAGCGTTTCTTTGGGACGTCTGGGGGCGACCTCAAGCCTTCCTCGGTCATCTTGGGCTTCTGGAAGTCGTCCTCGGGGTCTCCTCTTTGGCGTGGGCACTCAGTCGCTCCTGGCCAGGGATGGCGATCAAGGGACCTCAAGGTGCCGCAGGGTGGCCCCCGAGACCCCCTACACAGCCCGAGGGGCTCCCACGAAGTCCTCGGCGGCAACAGAGCTCTCGGGCTTGACCCGAGGAGCCTAAGATGCGTCACGCACAGACACACCTAAATGATCCCGCGGCGGTTTCCGCAACAGCTGGAGGAACTCACAGCCCAGCAGCTCTTCCAAAATTGAGCCTAACGTTCGGCCTCACAGGCCATGCCAAAGAAAGACAGGGGGGCGGCGGCTGGTGACTCGCCGAGAGAGCGTCTTCGACCGACCCTCCAAAGCTTGGTTGTGGAATCACATCCGACGTTAGTGCGTCGCACCCGCATGGGCCAGATCATAAAAAACATGAAAATAGATCTGGGCGAGTGCGCGTAGCCACCACGAGCAGCTACCGCTCTGGGCCTCACTCTGTGCCTCCTGTCTTGGTGGTCGTCCCCAGCTGCGCTGTACAGACGGCCTTGTGCTTCTTCCAGTCCTTTTTCTGGCACTGCCTGCAGCAGTAATTCACCTGCTTGCAAGAGCACTGGCTCATTCCGAGTGTCCACTTTGCGCACAGCGAGCAGACTTGCACATCCTGCTGGAACTCGCACCTGACGAGGAATTTCGTATACTGCGCCCTGATGTCCTCGTCGACGACGTCTTTCACCTCTGGAAGGAGCTTCTCGTACCCCTTCATCTCGTCCGCTATCGAAGCCCAGTCCGATCCATCCACAAGCTGCGCAATCATACAAGTGATATTGTCGCGACTGTTCCTCGTCAAACACAAATTGATGACCTCGGTGGCAAGATCGCCGAGGTCCAAATCCGGGTCGGCGGACAACCTATCCCGTACCAGTGTGGCCAGGTCATTTCCGCTTATGACGTCCCACACGCCGTCGCAAGCTAGGACGATGATGGTGCCTTTCTGAAGTCCGGAGATCTCGTAAACGTCCGGGATGCAGGAGACCTTCTGCTCCTCAACAGGCCTCCCAGCGTCGGCCTTGAATTAGATCGGGCATGTCCCCCTGCAGGCGGATTTTGGGCAAAAGAAAAATAATAAGAAATACTCCAAAATTGTTTTAAAAGATACTTCTGACTATTCTTGAATGTTCCCCCTGTGCAGGGACAGGCCCGACTCAAGCCTTGAACTCGAAATCTCCGATGGCGCGGCTCACGGCGAGAAGCCCGTCGACCCTCGGCGGCTCCTCCTCGGAGACGGTGCCGCCGGCTGCTTCGATCCTCGCCCTCTCCGTTGAGAGGCTCGGCTTGTGGTCTACGGTCTCGGCGATCAGGGGCCACCTGCACTCTGGCCCGTCGCCGCCTCTGCGCACCGCGGCGGGATCGTCGCCCAGGGCGCCGACGTGCCGCGGCACCCTGATCGCGGCGGCTTGCGCCGTGGCCTCCTCCTCACATGGCCCTCTGACGACGATGCAGCGGCAGTCGCCGCAGTTGCACACCTTGAGCGTGAAGTCGTCGCCCTGCCGCAGGCACAAGGCGCCCACGACGGTGGATCCGGACGCCCGGCCCGGATCCGCACCCACCTTCTCGCGGAGGCGCTCGTCGACAGCGACGAACCCCTGCTCCAGGCGGCTGTCCGGCGGCAGCGCGGTGGAGCTATCGCCGAGATCGCCGTGGAACTCGCTGGCGAACGCGGGGGCGCTGTCGACCGCGGCGAAGGAACCGCCGTGCCCATCGAGCACCCACCAGGCAGCCCAGGAGCTCGAGCACCGCATCTCATGTGCGTCCTCGTGGCTCACGCGCCAGCCCTGCGTCTGGCAAGGCTCGGCTGCAGGGTGCGCACAGACGGCCCCTGGAGGCACCGTCAACCCGTATCATAAGGACACGCGGTAAGGATGCAGGTGCCTTGGAGGGCCACGATCACGATTTTCGAACGAGGCTGGCCAGCGAAAGTCGATGAGGATGGACCAAGGAGGCAAGGATGCAAGGGATACCCTTGGGAGGGTTGCCCATCCCTACTAGGCGGGTCGACTGTAGTCCCCTGTTGGCCTCAACGGGCCCCCCGACGAGCGTGCGCATCCAGAGCAGGAGCCCCTTCGCCGAGGCACCAGTGCCCCACGTGGAGATATTTCCAAAAAGAGCGTCACGTCCCAGGGTGGAACGCCCACACGTGAAGGACAGCAGGGCAGGGCTGAACCTAAACGGTGTTCTGCGTTTTCGTTTTGTTTTCGTTGTCCCTCTCTTTTGTCTCGAAGCCGCCTTTACCGCAAAACGAAGTCGAACCGAAAACGGCCCACGAAATCACCCAACACACTGTTCAGGTCCAGCCCTGCATCAGGGTACCCCTCCAAAATCAAAGTTTTCCTAGCCCTCCAAAGTCCGCTGACCCCTTGGGGATCATCGGCGTGTGAGGTGCTTCCCCCTCCCCAGGCCCCTCCCCCCGGAGCCCGGTCCGGTCGATTTGGAGGGAGCTAGGGGGGGGGGCGTCCGGCCCGAGCTCATCAGGGGGGTCTGGCCCTTCCCGGGCTCCTTCTGGAGGTCCACGACCCCCCCAAAAAAAGCAAAGGGGTCGGCGGTGTGGCGTAAGCCTATAAGAATCCAGGCTCTCCTATAGCCCCCGTGCCAGCGGTGTGCCGAGGTGGCCTCAGCGCCCAGCCCCGGGGCGCAGACAGCCCGGGTGGAGCGCTGGGAAAGCCCAAGGCCGAGGCTAGCTTTAGGTCGGGCCTGTCCCTCTAGAGGGGGATCTTCGTCGAAAAATTAAAATATTCAAGCAATACTCCAAACTGATATAAAAAAAAAGAAAACAATCCCAAGGACAAATTATCCCCATACGATTGTTTAAAAACTATTTTTGAATATTCCCACTGTGGAGGGACAGGCCCGACTTCAGGCTGGCTGGGACTACCTCCGAAAACTGTCTGCGCACAACACTCGGCCTTGCCTCAGCCGCTCGAATCCCGACCTCCACGCCCCTCTGCCTCGGAATGGGCTTGGCAAACTCTGCTCTGGTTGACCGTGCGGGGCGGGGAAGGTCCTGAAATCCTGGCTTAGCTGCCGCGATACGCAACACGCGACACGTAGCGTATTGATACGGAGCTCCACACGTAGACTGAAAACGCAGGTCTGACCCGATACGTTCGCCAAAACGTGGTCCAATACGTGGAGCCAATACGCAACGTATTGATACGGACGTCTTGAACACGGGACGTGGCTGCGTTTCAAAACGGGCGTATCGAGGCAACTGGGATCCTGAGTCTGGGGGGCGGGATTCGGCTGGTGATTGCCGCCTGCATCTCGGCAACGGCGCACCTGAAGCTCTGACTGCCCTTCCGCTGCACCCGTATGTTCGGCGGCGCGCACCGGGGGGGGGGGGGGGCAAGGCGAGGGGGGCAGGGCGATGGGGGCGCTGCCCCGCCTCTCTGAAGACCCGAGGCCCGCGAGCTTCAAGGGGCCGATCGCATCCTGGACCCCCCCCTGCCATCTCTAGAAGAAGAAACAACAAGGGCTCCCAACGTCGCGCTTCGCGCTGAGCGAAGCGCAAATAACTTCGCGCTCTCGCGCCGCCTCCAAGGGGAGAAGAGGAGGATGAGGAGGAATCGGAGCCGAACCGCGAAGCGCGAACAACTTCGCGCCCTCGAGGGCGCCCTTGAAACAACGGCATCAACATGAACTTTTGGCGCTCCGCGCGGACTGCTTGCATCCGCGCTGGGAGCCCCACCCTGGCGGGCGGGGCGCGCCAGGGGCTGCGCCGGCCGGAGGCGCCGCCCAGGGGGGGGGGGGGGGGCAGCGCGGATCCAAGAAATCCACCTTCTTCGGCGACTACTTCCTTGAAGCCTCCTGCCATCTCAGCCAGTTGTCCCTCTCGCCATGCCTCGCCGCACTTCTGATCAGCATCTTCGGCGGCAACTCATGGGAGTCGCCCGTACCATCTTGCCGACTCTTGCGAATCGACGCCAATCGACGCTAATTCGACACGAATCGACGCTAACCGATGCTAAATCGGCGCTATCTCGTCGACTCCCATGACGCTAAAGACACACAAAAAAGATTAAGTACCAGGCTCCCGTGATTCGTTGCCGAACTCCTCCTCCTTCTCCTCTTTCTCCTTCAGCTCTGCTGCGGCTCTGCTTGGCCCTGCGCTGGCTTCAAATTTGGCCACTGCGCTCCACGTGGCGTGTTGCCGTGGCACCGTCCTGTCGGCCCACCGGCTGCCGCTGGAGAGCCTCAAAGATCAGAACTCCAGCCCCACGCCCTGCCCAGGAGAGCCCAGAATCGAATCGAGAAGTCGGCTCGGCGATCGAAGTGGATCGGGTCGGCGGAAATCGGCAGCCGAGTCAGGAAAAGTCGAATCGGCGGAAACCGGCAGGCCAAAGGGCCTCCGCTGAGAAGTCGAAGCCCACGCCGGAGTCCGGAGCCGAATCGAAGCGCAAAAAATGGGAAGCCATCGAGATCGAACCGAATCGGACCGGAGGCGTCGAACAAAAAACGAGCCCTGCCTGCCCCCCCCCGCTGCGCGCTGCCAGGATGAGCTCCACGGGGGAGCTCAGCGCGGTCCCCATGGCCCTGTGGGCCTCGGTCGGCAGCGGCGAACACTTCGGGCCCCCCACCCCCGGCCAGTACCTTCCCGGCGCGCCCCGTGTTTCCCTGAGCCAAAACGGCTGAGTCTGGAGGACAAGACCAGACAACATACATCAAGGGGCCCAGACACACACACACAGAAAAAAAATGGTCACGGATCCCAGGATTCAAATATTTCCCAGATTATCTGGAGTTTCGTCGTCTCCTCCACTCCACATACTTTCCCATTGTTCCTGTGGATCGATGATTACTTGTGTCTGTGGTTTTACCTCCTGGCAATAACACACATGATTAATGACCAGCTCCTGAACTCAAGGAGTTGCAGAGGAACACCCCATCTTTGCTGGATGTGTGACGCTCGTGCTTCTGTGGAAGAGCTTGCCTTGGAGCCCCGCTGGGGAGCGGTGAGTGCGCAGGAGGAGAAGAAGGAGGAGGAGGAGGAGGAGGAGGGGGAACAGAGCATTCAGAGGAGCCACAAGTGCATAAACGTACATTTTCGGGACTCCCTGGCGCGCGAAGGCGCCGCCAATGGGGGTCCACCGTCGATCCACGACATCCGCACAGAGCACCGACAATTCATCTTTGAGCATTGCTCGTTTCGGAAGAAGCCCGCGATGTATCAAGGATGCTGCACAAGACCCTGCCATCCCAAGTGCCCTGCTCTCTAGTCCCTACAGGCGTTGCACAGTACAAGAAACCTTCCACAAGAAACCCAACCATGATACCCCAAGGCGTCCATCGACTTTCGGCGTGGGAACGTCGCGCTTCCAATTGCAAAACCATCGAAACCGGAGAAGCCCTGGGCACCCCGGGAGGCAACCAGGGTGTCTCTTGGCGTGGTTCTCCACTGCGCCTCCCTGCGCGAAGCGCGCCCCCTGCAGGTTGAGCGCCCCGTGGGCCCGTGCCGAAAAAAAACTGCCACCCGTCCTTCACGCTGACAGGAATGCACCAAGGTTGGGCCACGAAAGGAGGCCCAGCGACAACCCCGCTTTGCTAAGACATCGCCCTCCGTCCCCGCCACTGCTGCACGGCAATAGGAATTCTGGTCGCAGAACCTCGCGATGTCTTGAACGAGCGCCCGTCCGCTATCCAGGCAGCTGCTGCCCAACCTTGTGCCTGTGAAGCTGCGTGTCGGCACCTGCGCATATACCTTGAGTAGCAGCAGCGGACTCTATCATAATACCCTCACGCGCGCTCGACGTGAAATCCCATACTTCGCCACGTCGGCAATTTGAGAAACGAGTGCGCTCAGCAACAACTCAACGGAAGGAGGGGAATTCAACCCGAGGGAATTGTTGATAGCCCACCCCCTTCTGGCAAAAGGATAACACCTCCT